TTACTTCCTTCGTTCATACTAAAAAGGATGCAACTATGTATACAGTGTTAGTAACATTTAAGTCTTTTACTAGGTTTACAATGAAAATATATTTTGTAATTAAGTTAATGGTACTTAGTATTACTTTTTTATCGTACCCTGGTCAATCTGCTTTCCGGTTCCCTATTTTTCTGTACCTTTTATCTTTTTTTAAGCAATTCTGTAGCTTTTTTTTTTCTATGTTTCCTTTTTTTAGAAGAGTTTTCTATGTTTCCTGATCATATCATGCAGGAAAACGAATGACGAGCCCGTTCCAAAAAAAAAAAACGGAGCTGAGGGGCCTGCATGGGCCTCACCTTTGGATCGGACTTTGGACTTTGGAGTACAGCTAACTGTCTAGCCTTTCTGTATATCATTCCGTTTCCACCTGCTGAGCGATTTGTGCATATAGCTATCATCTTTTTCTCTTGGGCGTAATCTCTTTTACACACCTTTTTTTTTCTCTCCTTTCATATTACAAAAAAGACCATCTGGTTATTCAGACAAAGAGTAGCTAGTGTCTTGCCGTTTCGGAGAGTGATCTACCGATTTTTTTTAAAAAAAATTACAGCAATATGCACGACATAGAGTGTTGGATCTTGCGGCATGTCCAATGTTTTGGGTTGGTCGTTGAATTTGGCATAAAGACTACACTTTGGCTCCTGCGTTTGTGGGAAACCATCGGAGAAGAAGACGATGCAAGGATCTGGATATAATATTATATATTTTCATTTCAAAAAAAATTCATGTGTAATTTAGGGATTTATGGTACCGAGTTTAATATAATCCCCCTTCCCTTCAAAAATAAAGAACTCTAAAAAAACAATTTGATGTCGTCCCCTGGTGCGGCGATTTCCAAACATCGGTTCCTATAGAAAAACAACTTTAGATGAAACCGTACACCAGTAAAATGATTTCATCTTTGTAGAAGAAAAATAAAAATAAATTATACTGTTAGTTTTATATAGAGGAAATTAATATTCTTATACAACTTTTAAATTCGTTTTTTTCCCATAAATGGCTTTTGGAAGGCATATTAGCTTTTTGTAATATAGTTTCTCGATTTGATACGAATGACCTACTAGGGGTTCTAAAAATTTGTATAAATAGATGTTAAAATCAAACACGAGTCATTTTAGTTGTATCTGGCATCATAGATTTGTAGCTTGAAAATATAATGCTATATTTGAGTTTTGGGTTAATGTGTTTAGCCCAAAACCTTTCATAGAGTCCAAAAACATGTAAATTCATGGTCCGAAAATTTGTATTTTATCACGTTATGCACTTTGTTAGAGAACTTTAGATTTCATTTGAGCTTGTATGCTGAAAAATTACATGACAAAATACTAATTTAGATGTTTTTCCCTAGATTCTTGGAGAACATTTTGGAGTTAAACATCTTAATCAAATACTCAAATATAGCATTTTTGAAAAAGAACTATTTAAAGACTACAAAATCTATGATGCTAGATACTAACAACATGGATTGTGCTTGATTTTACCATCTATTTGGAACATTACAAGATTAGATTTGAAGATCTCTAGGTCCTCGTATGGGATCGACAAAAAAAAATCAAAAGAGTCTTATTTTTCTTTTGCAAAAACAAAATCATTCAACTAGTGTACGATTTTACCTAAAATCATTTTCCAAAGAAACATTTTGGAAGTCGTTGTATCAAGCATCATTTTTTTAATTCAACAGATGCATAGGTTATTTTTAAAATTCCACACAAAACATTTCGGCCTCGTTCATTTCGCTGAAAAAACAAGCCGAAACACTGTTCCGACTGAAAAAGACGGATAAGAGAAACGAACAGGCCCTTCATATAGTGGCACGATAGGACATAACTTTGCTGATTTGACAATAACATTAAAGATGGGGGGGGAGAATAAAAAATAAAAAAAACTGGACCTGCGAGGGGAAAGCCACTCCGGGCATTGCATTAAGAAGAAGAACCTTCTCACGCAGGTCCAGAAAACCTCCGAACCCCTGCCACATCCATACACAGCGGCACTGTATTCCTGTGAGAACAGGGCCGTTCCTTATACATGTGCTTTGACGTGGGACAGACGAGGGGATTTTTTTAACTCCAGCCTAAAATTCGCTCCCACGGAGAGTCGAACCCAAGACCTAAGGAGTGCCGCTGTGACGCTCTAACCAGTTGAACTAGAGGCCCTTTGGCAAAGAGAAGAATACTCCCTCCATATCGTATTTAGGTGTCGTTCTGGAGGCCAGGCCGATTGCGGCAAAAGAAGTCGTTCACGATAACGAGGGCGATTTTGGACGCGATTACCCCACGTAGCCTTTGCCCGTTCGCATGGTCTCCTTGTCATTAATCGTGGACTCCTCGATTGAGAGATCGCCTTGGACGCGATCGCCCACAAAGACGCCGCCCGCTGTCCGCACGCCTTACTTTATCTCCCCACGCTTTGTGGATTCCGGCGCTAGGGTTTAGTATCGCTGCGTTTCGTCTCTATGGAGACCGTCTCCTTGTGCTTGTCGCCGCGGATGGCTCCTCGATTGAAGAGCTCGCCATGGAGGACATCGGGCTAGAGTCGGAGGAGGTCGCGAGGACGCGCCAACCAGCTGCCGTCCGTCATTGATTCGCAGCGACGAGGTCATCGTCTTTGCTTCGCCCGCGACAAAATCGAAGCAAAGCGCGCGCTTCGGACTCGTTCCTCGACGCTCTGCAAAATCGCCATGCAAAATAGCGAAATCCAAAAATATGCGCCACCAGAATCGAACACAGGACCTTAGGGTTTAATCGAACCCAAGACCTAAGGAGTGCGTGACGCTCTAACCGGTTGAACTAGAGGCCCTTTAGCAAAGAGAAGAATACTCCCTCCATATCGTATTTAGGTGTCGTTCGAGGCCGGCCGCTCGCGGCAAAAAGAAGTCGTTCACGATAACGAGGCGATTTTGGACGCGACACCCCACAGCTACACGCCGCCGCCTGCTCGCATGGCTGCCCGCTCGCATGGTCTCCTTGTCATTAATCGTGGACTCTCGATTGAAGAGATCGCCTCAAGACGCAGACCGCCCACAAGACGCGCCGCTAGCTACTTTGTGGATTAGGCTAGGGTTTAGTATCGTCGGTTCGCTTGCGCTTGAGTCTATGGAGACCGGGCGACGCTGGTGCTTGTCGCCGCTGGATGGCGTCGGCCGAGTCGGAGGTGCTCGCCATGGAGGACATCGGGCTAGAGTCGGAGGAGGTCGCCATGAGCGAGGACGTCCGCCAACTCATTGTCTGTCATACTGATTCGCAGGAGCCGGACGAGGTCATCGTGCTGCTCGCCGCGGACAAAACTGGAAGCAAAGCGCGAGCGCGCACGGCGGACTCGTTCCGCACAGTAGCATGCAAAATCGCCATGCAAAATAGCGAAATCCAAAAATATGTGCGCTCACCAGGAATCGAACCTGGGACCTTAGGGCACTAACAGCACTGCGCTAGCCACTCCAACTCTGATTCGTTCTCATATATAATACACCCGCAGGCGTATTTAATAGGGGCAGACAGGGAAAAATACCATGTTAATGACTCATTGGTAATCACACTCATGTCCTAAACGACTTCTAATTACGATATGGAGTGAGTACAATAAGCTCGGTCTTCTAAGATGTCCTCTACAAAAACCAAATTTAAAGAAGAAAAACTACATGAAATTTATTGGGATTGATATCGCAAATACCAAGACAAGATAGGAGAATGGGGAGGAAGAGGATTCGTATAGTGTGACATAGTGTACTTTGTATTCCTATTAGGCTCAGCCGCTACACTTGGGCTTGAGAACCCGTTCCACTAGTTTTCTCCTCGATATTGTAAAGTAAAGAACTAAATTATTTTGGGCTCCTCATTGGAGAACGGAGAGACACTTTTTAATTAACAGGACCGAAAGATTCATCAATGTGTCATTCTGCATGCAAGGCTCATGTATCGCATTAAAACAGGCTTGCCACGCAACTAGGAGAGCCCATCGAAAATTGAGTTTAGGACAGTTGGCATATTTAATAATAGTAATAAGATAATTTAGGCCTGAACAACATCAAGTTATATTTGAAGATTGGAGCCTCTCCTAAAGATATGAGTTTTATTATGTAAAAAGAGGTGTGATCATATATTAAGAAGAGATGGTAATTTAGATAAACAAAATTGCAATCGTAGTAAATATGCTGCTGTTCTAGTATTGATATGTTTTTTCCCAGTGGCACTTGTACAAACTTGGAGTGAAGTTGTGCTGAGTTTTGTTGGAGTTTTTATGCTTCCACCGTGCAAACATTTCGAAAACTTAAGTGGTAGTGCAATTAATACTCCTTACGCGTAAATATTTTGGCCATAGAAATATTCGTGTGAGGCCACCCGGCTTGATGTTGGAAGTCAACATTTGCTGTCGCCGCACCGCCCTACCTAAACACGGTTGCTACGGAGCTGTCGCCGCGGCTTTGTACTTGGTCACACTTGGATCAGACGGAGCAGCAGCCGCCACCCCATGCATGCATACAATACGCGTCCATTTATATATTCGGGTTATTACTCGTACAAAATAAAATATACTAGTATTTATTTAGTAGTACTGCAAATAAAAATAAAAATGGTCAACTCCCTCCCAGGTTTTGTTTTTCTTGGTCTGGTCCACGGCCACCTCCGACCTCGGGCGACGGCAGCAAACCTCTTCCCCTTCCTCCTCGGCTCCTCGCATCTCTCTCAACCCCCCCCTACCCCACGCCACCAACCCCGACCGAACCTCCCTCTCTGCTCACCACCACCGGTCCTGCTGCTGACTTCAACATCCATCCATCCCCCCGCCATTCGCGCCATGATTATTCCTCCCTCCCTCCCTACTTCTACTCCTTGTTGCTGATTCTTATTCCCCTTCCACCAGGGCAGCGGCATCACCCAGCTCAGCTCCTCTCGACTTCCTTCCTTCCTTCCTTCTTCCCTCCCTCGGACCCCTCATCCGCCAGCCGGCAACGAACAACAATAATGGCGTCGATCCGCCGGCCGCACTCGCCGGCGAAGCAGCACCTGCTGCGGCACCACCACCCGTTCGTCACCTCCTCCCCGCCCTCCTCGCCGCTCCGCCACTCCTCCTCCTCCTCCTCCTCCCCCCGGACCCACCACCACGGCGGCTACCCGCACCCGTTCCTCTTTTTCACCCGCCGCCCGCTGCCGCGGTTCGCGGCCTTCTTCCTGCTCGGCTCCTTCCTCGGCCTGCTCCACTTCCTCTCCCACCTCCCCCACCAGACCCCGCACCTCCGCCCGTCCTCCCCCAACCCAACCGCCGTCCTCCTCCCCCACCACCAGCTCCCCATCGTCCGCCTCCACGACGACGACGAATCCTCCGACGCCGACAGGAACAAGCTGCTGGTTGTCGTCACGCCCACGCGCGCGCGCGCCGCGCAGGCATACTACCTCAGCCGGATGGGCCACACGCTGCGCCTCGTCGACCCGCCCCTGCTCTGGCTCGTCGTCGAGGCCGGCAAGCCCACGCCCGAGGCCGCCGCCGCGCTAAGGGGGACCACCGTCCTGCACCGCTACGTCGGCTGCTGCGACAAGCTCAACGCCTCCGACTCCGACGACGGCGCGCTCCGCTTCCGACCGCACCAGATGAATGCCGCGCTCGAGCTCATCGAGAACCACCGCCTCGACGCCATTGTCTATTTCGCCGACGAGGAGGGCGTCTACTCCCTCGACCTCTTCAAACGCCTGCGCCAAGTCAGGTACTGCTAGTGCTTCCTTGCTTGCTCATTTTCTCTCTATCCGCCCCGCCGCCATTAATCAATTCTCGCCTCTTCCCTCCGCATTCAATCAGTTACCGCATCACCTGTCAAATTAAAGGTCCCATCTTTGATGATGAATGGTTTCGTACTAGCTAGTACAATATTTACGAGTACCTTGATTTGCGGTTGCCCTTATCCAACAAGATTTCATTCAGCCTCTGGAATTCTATCCGATTGCAAAGGGGAGGCAGCAAAGGGAGTTTGCTTGCTGTCTAATTCTAGTGAAAGGGCCACCTTTTCCTGTTATGCTGTCTGAATCGACTGAAAAATTGGTACCTTTTCTTTTCTATCTATCTAAGGAATTGCGAATACTGCTGCTTATATACTGAACATAGGACTCAAAAGTTCTTACCATTTTTCTTGTCTCAGACAGATTCAGTAGCTTCACTGTTTTGCTTTGTAGGAGTTCATCACTGGTAATTCATTCTAGTATTTATTAATTACCTTTCAGCTCAAGAATGTTGGTTTTATACTCCAAAAAAAAAAATACTAGTAACATGCCAACATTAGACCCTGCAGCAGTGAAATATGATATTCAATGTTTGTTGAGAAAATTGGATGCTTCATATATATAAATCCTGCTGCTGACTTAATGCAAACTCCTCTCATGATTAGGAGGTTCGGCACATGGCCTGTGCCAGTGATCTCTGAAAACAGAAAGGATGGTGTGGTGCTGGAAGGCCCTGTGTGTAAACAGAACCAAGTTGTGGGGTGGCACACAAGTGAGCATGTCAGCAAGCTCCGTAGATTTCATGTTGCTATGTCGGGTTTCGCGTTCAACAGCACCATGCTCTGGGACCCCAAACTCCGGTCCCATTTGGCATGGAATTCAATCCGGCATCCGGACACAGTGAAAGAAGGTTTTCAAGTAAGTTTGCTGTTTCTGTTTTCTGATATTCTGACTGCTGAGTTCGTATATTCCTATGTTCCTACTGCTCTTGGATACTAGGTACTCTTATCCATTTTGCAAAGTACTTACATAACATAGACGACTGATCTACTCTCTGACTGTTATGCAATGCCGGATATGTTTAATTTCACCATTATAAAATGGCTGCAGTGGAATAAAATAAGACTTTCAAATTGCTGATTAGCCATCAAACACATGGCGACCTCCTGAATGGGCAGCTTTTCTGCATACTTTGTTTGGACTTTGTTTACAAGCCCAAGCGAACAGGGTGAATGCCTTTCTGCATATGTACCGCATCTGAGATATATGGTTGTTACTTTGCAGGTAACCACGTTCATAGAGCAACTAGTGGAGGATGAAAGCCAGATGGAAGGCATACCCGCTGACTGCTCTCAAATAATGAACTGGCATGTGCCATTTGGATCTGAGAATCTTGCCTATCCCAAAGGATGGCGAGTTGCGACGAATCTGGATGTGATCATTCCTCTTAAATAGTATCACCAGCTATGTTCATCAAAGCACTGACTCCTTTGACAGGTTTGTTTTGTTTGTACCTTTCTGAAATCTGCTTTGGTTCTCTACATATGGATGGGTTCTTAGTTGGTACCCATTTCTTACATTCTTCAACTTGACGCTAGCATATATATATATTCAGTCCCCTTTCACTTGTCTTTAGTATTTCAGTGACATCTGCTCCACAAAATCACAGCGTGTGGCATCTCAACACACACTGTATTAAATTAATTGGCTTATGATTGCGACACATTTCAACTTTGATGATCTACCCTTGAACACATATGGTTGATTACAGCCAACTTTTACTCTGTGTATCCTCTTTGTTAGGTTGAAAACATTTGTGTCATATCATCTATGCCTTTCATTTGTGTAACTGAAAGTGTGAAATAGATTAGCCCAACTTCTTTTCCAAAACATAAATAATTCAGATATTGATACCCATTTCAAAAGCATCCAATAATCTCTAGCAGATCTGCTAACGTGATTGATTGGGAGTGTCGTCCAAATTTCTTTTTGTCTGCATTCATCGTCTTTATCCTTTCCACTTGTGAATAAGTCCACATCATGCCTAATATTTTTCTTATCTCAGCTAGATCTAATTGCTGGTACTGTTTTTCAGGCATATACTGTAGAAATTAAGCTATGAAGCTTTGGCTGCGATAGTGCAGAGGAATCCCGGGTTGACTACATTGGAGAAGCATCTCTTGAGAAGAGGAGGCTTCAGGTTCTGCGCAACCTCATGCAGAATTTCTGTTGTTATAGTCGAACTTTTTGGGAAATATTTTTAGGATGAAAATTAGTGCAGCATCAACAATCAAGCCAGCCATCTTGCTGCAAAGCCGTGCATTGTATATGTTCATGTTGTCTGTATTCTTTCTTTTTGTTTTTGAGTTCACAAGCCAAAAGGCGATATATACAAAGTTTTAAATCTTCTGCTTAGTTACAGATTATTTCAGGAGTTTCAGTAAAAGCATGAGTGGCCTTATCTTCAATTGCTGCATTTCTTGCTCTTATGTGATGATCCTGTACAAGTGCTAAATTTCTTGTTGCCGTATGATGATCCGTAGAACTTATTTATCGTAGGATATATTGAGCTGTTGTATTTCAGAGGAACAGAAATGCATTTTCTATTCATTTCTTATTTCTTAGCCCCAAAACCAAAAGGTGTATTTGCAGAATTTTAAATCTCCTGCGCATTACTTCATCAGTTTCAATACAAGCATGGGCCTTTCTTTTCATGGCCAAGTGCTGACATTTTCTGGTAGAATGATACTAACTGTATAGAAATGTTAGCCGTGGAAAATTATATGCTGTGCTCTCTCAGAGTATAAATAAAAAGCAACATAAATCCATTCTGAGTGCAGCTCTCGGTACAACCATACTGAAGGCAGGTTTCAGGCCTGCAAAAATATTATTAGTTGTTATGTGCAACTATCTAAGGAGTAACACAAATGAACGATCAAAATTTGGAAAGGGTAAGAATTACTAGCACTGAAGAGCAATTATCATGGCAAACTGCATATACATCCTGGAGAAAAACATGGTATGTATGTGTAACAACTGATTTGCACGCTGTGCTGATTGCTGACCAAATAAATACAAGGAGCGAGAACAGTGATATTATTGCAACTCAAATCTATATATATATCCAACCTGGTCATGGAGATCTAACTTACTACACTTGTATCATCATACAAATTAAGACATTGCTCATCTAATCACACGCTATAATCTCAATTACGGGCTTGCCTCCAATCAGCGGATCAAGCCTACTTGCATCCCTCTTCAGTGACTTCGTTAGCGTGGGTTGCGTTGATATGTAGCACTGGTAATGAATGTTGCCCTATCTCTGGATCATACTGTAGTTTTTTTTTAGAGAAGTCGATATCTGAATGCTTTCTTCAACCTCTTGCCGCGACACCTCATGTCTCGACGCACGCCAGAACAGCAGCAGTGTTTTTTTTTTTTGGCAGAGCCAAAACAGCAGAGGTGCAAGGGACGTTCGGACAGGTCCAATCGCCTGCAGTGCGGGAGCCGAGAACCATCCCCTGTCGCCTGTCGGCTCATCGGGTCTACTGTCTCCCTGGCACGGGCACGGCAACGGACCCGGGTCACCGATCGACTTTTCAGACGCCGCCTCCTCTCCTCTAGGCTCTAGGGCCCTCACCGTCACCGCGGCGGCGACCAAGGACAGGGACACGATCGTGCATTATTTACCGTTGATTGGTTTGATATGAAAAAAAAAGTATTATTCTAACTGAAAATTTATGCTGTCAACGGGGACACCACGGACTTCCGCTACTGGTCTACGGTGTGGCCAGGCGCGATGAGCTCGCCGAGGCGACGGATCGGCGGTGGTCGTCTGGGCCAGCCTCTTTGGAGCCGGCTTCTGGCGGAGCCCGCCGCAGCACAACAAGACAGGGGAGGTGCTCATGGTCGCCGCTTCTCCTGCCGTCGCCGCCCTTGGACTCAAATCCGTCACATTGATGGCTATGGTATCCCCGGTTAAACCAGTCCCCATGGTAAAAGCTTTTGCTCATTTCAATAAAAGCTCAGTAACCAATCCCCATGGTAAAAATGTGAGCTCCGGCGATTGATTAATCGTTCAACTGCAGATCGTTGCAACGACGACCGTCACCATAGTATGCTAGTTTTTTATTACTCTCTCCGTCCCTCAGAAAATGCAATTCGAGAACAGGGACATGTTTTTAGTATATAAAGTCTGATCAATTCTAGATAAAATAATATAAATATTTATAATATCACATAAACACCATTAGATTAATTATGAAATGTATTTTCATAATACATTAATTTGGAGCAAAAAAATGTAAATACTATTTGCTAGAAAGTAGAAACTTGATGAAACATAAAGTATTTTAATTGTCACGCAACTTATTATAGCTATGTTTTTGGGTCCAGAGGTAGAAGCAATTTTTTTCGCGGGTCTTGTCCTACTCAGCTACCAGTTTTGACGGTGCCTCAAGTTAGCAGCCTTTTTTTTTTTGCCTGCTACCGTGCTAGAAGGACGTCTATGCCGATCGCTGTAGCAGTAGGCTTGCAGTGGATGGATAGCTGGGCTACTAATGGCAGGGGCTGACGGGCTGTCGTTGGTCGGGGTGACCGGGGTGCTGCAGTAAGCTATGGTAGTGGTAGGGTCTGAATAATAAAAATCTCTCTCTATTTGGATTTTTAGATTATGGTTGTGGATTCTAGAATTGAAAACCATTTCCTAAAATATCTCTCAACATTGTCCTTTTTTATATATCCTGCACTTGTACATGAAACGGTCACACAAGCATGCTGACCACTTATATACTCGTATGTCTGTCCAAAATACACACTGTCCGTCCAAAATACATGCACATATATACTCTTATAATTTTCGAGTCCACAAAACCCAACACCAACATTTAAAGTTCATACAAATATCCACTTATATTCACATATGCATTGTAAATAAAGCATTAGCAAGATTATCTCGGAATACATTCATGTCTTCATCTTCGTCTCCTACTTGCCCATTACCACTGCTTCACTGAGACGAGGAATACGGCATATAGTTTTCATCTCAATTGCACAGGTCAAAATCTGCATTTGTCAGTAAAAGAAGATGGTGTCTTTGGCTAGCTGTGCCTACAAAATTGGCAAACAATAATGCACACTATATTATTGGATATTGCTTTTTAAAAACTATGTGTTGATCCACATTTTGTTAGAATTTTAGTACTAGATCCAAGTGAGCATGGATATGTCTCCAGAGACACAAGGGTTAGAGCAAGGATCATCATGAAGCAAAACCAAACACATAAACTTGGATAGATTTCAAACGAAATCCAATAGATGTTTTTGCAGTTGGTCAATACAGACGAGTACAATCCTAAAAGCAAGAAAAACTGCCTATAAGGAGTACATTTATTTTAATCGGAATAGGTTAATACCATTTAATATGTGCTAATAATGCACTAATAATATCATTAGATGGTTAATTACCCACACCACGTGAGCTTGGCCCGGTAGAAACAACCGGTTTTTGCGTTTCTTCAGAGCCTGGCCGCAGGGGCTCCTTGCACGAGCAGAGTCTGCGTTTGTTCTCGCACCCGCAGAGCATGGCTGAGGGCTAGTGCATGAAACCAAACGCCCCCTAGTACTTGTGCGCGGCTAGTCTCCAGCTAGCTAGCCTTTGGAACCGTGGCCCCCCTTGCTCGGTCTGTCCAGCCGGCCAGCGGCCCAGCGCTGAGACATGGTAGCACGCAGTGTCACGGCTTGCGGGCTTGCACTGCCGCACTGGCAGCTAAAAATGCCCATGCAGCCCGAGGCCCGGCGGCCCGGTAAGAGGCCCGCAATTTTGGCCCGGCTCAAGCACAGCACGGCCCGAGGGTCATCGGGCTCGGGCTGGCCTGGCACGGGGCAGCAGGCCATGCTCTGGGCCGCTACTCAGGCCCGCGGGCTGGCACGGCACGGCCCGGTTTATAGGGGTCGGTCCGGCAGCGTCCCGAGACCTCCTCCCCAGCGGCGAAGCGGCCCAGCGCAGCGGCTAGGCGGCCCAGCCCCACAACGCCTCACCCCCCGCATATATAAGCGACGGCCGCGGCGCTCTCCCTCCTCAACCCTAACCCTAAATCATTTCCTCCCCACCGCTCGCCTCGCTCTCGCCTCGCTCTTGCTCTTGCCTGAGACCTAGCTCGTTTGTCCAACCTCGTCGACCCCGACTCTAGTGACCTCGAACCGCCTGCTGCCGGCGACCTCCCCTGATCCCTTCCCTCGCTGCCTCTCCCTTCTCCGTCTCCCTATCTCCCATCTAGATCTCGGTGATTATGTGAGTTCGTTGTCCCCGTCTGTCCCGCCTCCACCGCTCGCCGTCCTTGCTAACCGGTGTGTCGTGTTCTCTGGGTGGCCGTCGTCTTCTCCGGCATCGGGCTTCGACTGCGCAGGTAAAATCCTAATCCTAACCCTAACCCTCTTCTTCTATCTTCTTC